GATGACAGAAACAAGTGGAAAGATATTCCACGCTCATGGATTAGAAGAATCAACATTGTTAAGATGTCCATTCTACCTAAGGCAATCTGCAGATTTAACACAATACCCATCAATTTACCAGCAACATTCTTCTCAGAACTAGAAACAACAATGCAGGAATACATATGGAAACATAAATGACCAAGAATAGCCAACACAATCCTGAGCAAAAAAAAAGCAGGAGGCATCACACTCCCAGAGTTTAAACTTTATTATAAAGCTACAATAATCAAACAGCCTGGTCTGGTACAAGAACAGGCATAGAGACCAGTGGAATAGAATTGAGATTCCAGAAGCAAAGCCTCAATTTCTCAACCAACTCATCTTCGACAAAGCCTCCACCACCAACCACTGGGGAGACGAGAACCTATTCAGTAAATTGTGCTGGGGAAACTGACTGACCACATGCAGAAGATTGAAACAGGACCCCAACCTATCCCCATACATAAAAATTAACTCTAAATGGATAAGAGACCTAAACGTAAAACCTCAAACTATAAGAATCTTGGAAAATGCAGGAGACACCCTTATGTAAGTTGGCACTGGCAACCAATTTCTGATCAAAACCCGAAGTGCCCAGATCATAAGAGATAAGATAGACAAGTGGGACCTCATTAAACTGACAAGCTTCTGCAAAGCCAAAGAAGCCATCAAGAGAGCAGAGAGACAGCCCACAGACTGGGAAAAAATATTTGCCAACTCCATGTCTGACAAAGGACTAACATCTAGGATATACAAGGAACTCAAACGTGCTGAAAAGAAAACAACAAACAGCCCCATTACAAAGTGGGCAAAAGATATTAATAGACAGTTCTCAAACAAAGACTTATCAACAGCTGACAGAAACATAAAAAATGTTCAATCTCATTAGTCATCAAAGAGATGCAAATTAAAACTACACTCAGATACCACCTAACTCCAGTCAGAATGGCCATCATAAATAACTCAAAAAATAACAGATGCTGGAGATTTTGTGGTGAAAAGGGTACACTTCTACACTGTGGTGGGAGTGTAAACTAGTACAGCCTCTGTGGAAATCAGTGTAGCAATTCCCAAAAGTTCTAAAATTCGACCTTCCTTATGACTCTGCAATTCCCCTACTGGAAATATACCCAGAAGAACTCAAATCACTTAGATACCTGTACACGTATGTTTATCGGAGTATTGTTCACAATAACAAGAACATGGAACCAACCATGCTGCCCATCAAAAGAGAACTGGATTAAAAAAATGTGGTACATAGACACAATGGAATATTATGCAGCCATAAAGAAGAACAAAATCATGAACTTTGCAGCAACCTGGATGGAAATAGAGACTATAATAATAAGTGATCTTTCACAGAAACAAATAACTGACTATCACATGTTCTCATTCATAAGTGGACCTTGAACAACTACTATAATACTATAAGAAAGGGATTGACAGTAGTGGGAAACTGTGGGGGTTGGGGGGGTGGGCAGATGGGATTGACAGTAGTAGAAATCTGCGTGGGGAAGGGGGGACACACCTCATCAACAAGGGTACTGCACAATGAATATTTGTATACCTAACCCTGAATTGTACCCCATGATTTTAAAATAAAAAGACTTAAAAGTTAAAAAAAATAAACTAATACAAATATTTACATGGAAATGCAAAAGACCCAGAATTGCTAAAAAACAACTTCTAAAAAGAAGAAAAATATTGGAAAACACTGTTTGATTTCAAGATGTATTATGAAGCTACTTAAAGCAATGCTTAACTGATGTAAATATAGACATATAGATCAATGGAACAAAACACCTACATATATGATCATTTTATTTTCAACAAAGGCACCAAGGCAGTTCAAAACAAGTTAATAATTTATAACAAATGGTAATGGAACATAGGGCTACCCGTATGTCTCAAAAGAAATTAACCTCATATCTTTCTTCACACCACATAAAAAATTTACTGACAACAAACCTTAAAATTAAGTATAAGATATATAGCAATAAAAAAAAAGAAAATGCATGTGCTTCACAAAAGTTATGCAAATAGCAAAATAAGCACATTAAAAAGATGCTCAAAATCATTATTCATTGGAGAAATACACATTAAAATTACAAGGAGCTATTGCTATATGCCCACTAGAGTGGCTGAAATGAAAACTGTGACAAGGATGTGAAACTCCATCAGTTGTTGATCAACACATAAATGCGCAACACTTTGGAAAATAGTTTGTCAGTTTTGTTCTTGCTTTTAAAGTTAAACATACACCTATCACACAACCTAGCCATTCTGTTCTTTATATATAACAGCCAAAAACCACAACCAACCCAAATGGCCAACAAATAATTGAATTTTTTTAAATTGCTCAGTATTCATGTAATGGAATACAACTTGACAATTAAAAGGAAAAAGATGATATATATACAACAGCATGACTGAATCTCAAAATAAAGTTAAGTTAGAGAAGCCAGATCACAAAAAATGTTTTTGAAAGAACATATAGTGACATAAAACATCAGAAATTGATTGTAGGTGTGGGGTTGAAGGGTAGAAGCAGAAAGAAGTTACAGATGGTCACCGTGGGAACTTATGAGTTATGATTATTTTTGTTATCTTGAGTATTGTTGTGGTTTCACAGGTGTATATGTTTGTCAAAACTCATCAAATTGTACAACTTAAATAAATGTAATTTACTATATGCAGGTTACACCTCAGTAAAACTGCTTTTAAAAATATTTCACATTAAAAAAATTTAATGGTTAGCAACCTGATGTCATCCTTAACACTTATTAGAAACTATCCTTTACATGTTTCTACTCACTCTGAATCTTTGCCAATTACTTATTTTAAAAGTCAAAATCGCTTCATATTACCCAGTGTTCTGCTTACTCGGGAGATTTTCTTACTTATACCTGCCTTTTATAAGCTTCAAATCAATGTTTCCTGCCCTAAATGTTCACAGCTATCCCTGTTTAGTTTGGCCTCCATAATCTCCTAAATATACTTGTTTTCTATTTATACAGTATACTATTTGTATACATAATCTCTACCTCAGTTCCAGCTAACATCCAACTTTTAAGTGTTGACAGTTTTTTCATGTTGCCAGTGGATAAATTCCATCTTCATTAAATATATTCTCTTTTGAATGTAGTTCTGAATTTTTGTATGGCTTCTGAATTTAAAAAACAAGACACAATAGAAAATCTAAAATAGAAAAAAAAAAAAACCTTCTAATTTAGAATACCCAGTTTAACTGGATTTAAGTATCTTAGAAAACATAAAAGGGATTTGGAAATTTTTTAAAAATCATCTTCCATTCTACATAGTCTAGAGTAATGTTTTACAACCTTAAATCTGACACATACAAGAAAGAGTGTGCTTGCAATAATTTTTACAAATTTCTCAGGAAACTTACTTAAAACATTATATGTTCTTAGGTGTTCAGATAACAAAGTATGTGACAAATATCCAACAATCATAGGCACCAAAACTTAACAAGATTTGGAATCATCAATCTAGTATTTTCACTAACAAAGAAATACATTGACCAAATTTTTAAAATTTTAAGAGAATTATCTCAACACTTCGGCACATTTCAAGTTATTTGTAACTAGACAAAATATTGTTTCTAAAGTTGTTATAACAATAGAAAACCAGATATCCTTTAATAGCAGACATATTAGAACACTGACAGTATTGTTAAAGTTTGACACACTTTAAAAACTTCAATAGCTTACATGAAATTAATCTGATTTTATTCTGTTTCTCTTCAGCACAAGTTCAGACAGAAAAAAAAAAAAACATGTCAAGCTTCCAAAAGACTCATCATATTCTCAGTTGAAATGAAAACTAAACAGGAATGTGCCCTCAAAGCCATCTAAATATATTTGGTTTCATATTTACAAAATTTTTTAAATACTTCCTCTATTACCATCATCTAAAACTATTGAACTTATGGTTTTTACAAAGGAAATAAATTTCTCTTTTCAGACACTGAAATGTAAAATATGCAAGAAAATAAGAAAGAACATTTAGATTAAAACCAGGAAAGTAATGCTTGTATCAGAAGGAATTGAATAAAAAGAGAAAAAAGAGAATTGAGAATAAGAGATGAATTATAGCAAGGAGAAAGAGAATATCACATAACTTTAGATGGGTGACTAAAACTCAAGGAATATAAAGTAGATAATAGACCTGCAGAAAAGAAAATGGCTTATCCACCAGAAATTACACTTATAAAAAGAAGGTGAAGAAAAAATGTATGACTGCAGAGTTAACTTTACCCTGTTGACACAGGGTTTATTTGTAGAAAGTATATATTTTTTATTTTATATTATTTTATTACTTTATTTTATTTATTATTTTTTGAATGAGTCTCACTCTGTTGCCCAGGGTAGAGTGTAGTGGCACATTCACAGCCACCGCAGCCTTGACCTATTAGGCTGAGGTGATCATTCCACCTCAGTCTTCCAAGTAGCTGGAACCACAGGCATGTGCCAATTTTTTGACTTATTGACTTATTGTAGAGACAAGGTCTCACCATGCTACTAAGGCTGGTCTTGAACCCCTGAGATCAGGCAATCCGCTCGCCTCTGCCTCCCAAAGTGCTGGGATTACAGGCTTTAGCCACCGCACCCGGCTGGAAGGATATTTTAAGTAATGGTTCTAATCATACACTTACTTCAAAGTAAGTATTTTACACACTATAGATTCAAATGAAAATAACACAAGTCATTTTAAACTTCTACTGTTTTGTTTATTTTCCAGCCTGTACTGCAAGCCTTGGAGTTCCCTTTAATTTATTCACAAAGTACTTCCATACCTGCCTAGCTTCTGATCGCTGGCTTAGATAGGACGACCTGATTACCATTCAGGAGGAACATTTTTTATTGCATATGAATAACACCCTCTATTTCAAGAGTGGGAACCCGTCCATCCTTAGTATTAAACAAATCATTAAAGACAGGATTCATTTTTAAAATCTCTTAAAATTTTCCATCACCTTGCAAAACAACTGACCCTGATTTTTCTGCTGGGACATCTGCTCCCTGCAACGACTGAAATTCAGTAGACACATTCTCTAATAGAGCCTCATCTGCAGGGGATTGCTCAGATGGTGGAGGTGGGATATCAGCAGAGGCCTCTTGCAAAGGAGGAAACTCTTCAATAGGAGGAAGATTAGCTGGTGAAGGCTGTTTGCCAACAGGGGCCTCTTCTGCAGGGACCTCATCCGCTGTTAGAGACTGAACCTCAACAGGGGCCTCTTCCATAGGGGCCTCCTGAGCTGGTAGAGACTGAACTTCAGCGGGAGCCTCCATGGCTGGTGGAGACTGAACTTCCGCAGGGTCCTCTTCTGAAAGAGTCTCTGATGCTGCTAGGAGCTGAATTCCATCAGAGACCTCTTCAGCAACAGTCTCTTCAGCTGATGGAGGCCGAACCCCTGCAAAAGCCTCCTCAGATGGTAGAGACTGAACTGCAGCGGGGACCTCTTCTAAAGGAGTCTCTGTAGGTGCTAGAAGCTGAATTCCATCAGAGGCCTCTTCTGTAATAGTCTCTTCAGCGGATAGAGGCTGAACCTCAGAAGGGACCTCTTCTGCAGGAGCCTCTGAAGCTGCTGGAAGCTGGATTTCATTAGAGGCCTCTTCATCAGGGGTCTCTACAGCAGATGAAGGCTGAACTTCAGCAGGGATCTCTTCTCCAGGGGTCTCTTCATCTGATGGGGGCTGAACTTCAACAGGTTCCTCTTCTCCAGGGGTCTCTATAGCTGTTGGAAGCTGAAGTTCTGAAGCCTCTTCTGGAAGAAGCTCTTCAGGCAGTAGAGGCTGAACTTCAGCAGGGATCTCTTCTCCAGGGGTCTCTTCATCTGATGGGGGCTGAACTTCAACAGGGGCCTCTTCTCCAGGGGTCTCTATAGCTGTTGGAAGCTGAAGTTCTGAAGCCTCTTCTGGAAGAAGCTCTTCAGGCAGTAGAGGCTGAACTTCAGCAGGGATCTCTTCAACAACAGGAGGATCTCCTTTAGCTGGGGCTTCCTCAAGGGCCTCCTCCGCTGGTGGAGGCTGTACTTCAACAGAAGCTTCTTCTGCTAATGGAGGCTGAATTTCTTTAGGAGGCTCTTCTGAAGGAGCTTCTTCAGCTGGTTGGGGCTGTGATGCATCAGAGGGTTCTTCTAAAGGAGACTCTTCAGCTGGCAGAGGCTGAACCTCATCAGGAAGCTCTACTGAAGGAGCCTCTTCAGTTGGTGGAGTCTGAACCTCAACAGAAGCCTCAGCAGCTGCAATGACTGCCTCAGCAGCAGGAGTCTCTTCAACTGGAAGCTGTATTTGGACAGGGGCCTCCTCAGCAGGAGGCGTGGCCTCTACTTTAGTGGTGGCCTCTTCAGCTGATGGAGTCTGTACTCCAGCTGAGACGTCTGTTCGTGGAGGCTCTATTTCAACAGAAGCCCCCTTTTTAGCAACAGAACCTCCTTCTGAAACAGGTATGGTCACTTCTCGTCTAAGTTCATCTTCTGTAATTTCTGGAGAACCTATTTTAGTTTCCTGAGTAAATGAAAGTCTGCTGATTGCTTCACCGCTACTTGTTGCTGGTTGAAATTCAGGATGTTCGCTAACAAAAATCTCTCCTGAGGATTTATGTTTCTGGGCACTTTCCTCTGACTTTGTGAAAGAACTACCTGGCTTGGAAAAGACCCCTACTTCTGATTCACTAAAATATGTCTGCTGCTCCTTGTTTGCTGTTTCTTTTGGGGGAGTGGTCATCGTGGTCCAGTCTCCAGTACAATCGGTCTGCTGAGATCGGTCCATTTTTAGTTGAATCAAGTGTCTGATTGATGAACTTTCTACTCCATGAACACCCTCCGGCAATTCAGGAGCTGCTTCTCCAACACCAGATGGCTTTTGTTCAGGTGCCACTGTCTCATCAACTAACTTGATTTCTTTCTTCTCTTCTAGGATGGTGTCTGTCTGCTGAGATTTATTAGTCATTTCCCGTCCATGCTTTTTCTTTGTCCAAGTTTGCTGAAGTTGAGAAGAAATTCTACAAGAAGCATCATTTTTGGCAGAGTATTTGCCTTTGCTTCCAGGAATGTTACCAATACTAACAGTAGCCTTGGGGTCAGATGGTTGTGGTATGGTCAAGTATTTCTTTTTTTCTATTACTTCAGTCTGCTGGGATTTGTCTACCATGGGTTGGCTGGGTCGTCTTCTCTTTCGAATTTCTTCCCTCAGTGCTGAGCTAGGTTGATCAGGTTCATCACTTTCTTCCATATCGGGCTGGTGAATTTCAAATGTGTTAATTTTCAAGTAATTAATCATAAAGAATCACAACTATAACAGGTGGTTAAGATTCTGCCTTTCTTCATTAAGGGCAATTCTGTTGCGCTCCCTCAGGAAAAAAAAAAGTAATTTACAGCATTCTGTACTACACACTTGTTGGATCCCTCCTTACTTGGTAAGCATCTTGCTTGCCTAGTTACTGATATAGCTAAATCTCACTTTTAGAAGCTTCTCTCAAGGGTCTATGACCTCACAGCCAATTCACCCTGAAAGGTTCCACTGATGGTCTTCCCAGCACTTTTTACCTTAGTATACACTCGTAGGTAATGGCTGCAAGCAAGATATCTACTTTTTGAAACAAGTCAAGTCGAAATAAAAGCACATCTACCAAAGGAACATCAAATAAATTCTAATAATGCCACTATCTAATTGTTGAAGTTGATATTTTTGAATTTTCAGTTCTGTTATTTTCATCCTACTATCAAAGACAGTAATGTAGAACTCAGAATGCTGCAGTCTATTTTCAATTGTTATTAAAAAAAAAACAACTGATATCATATGTATGGGAATTATCTATTAATGTATGTTTACATGACTTGAAAGAAAGTTAATAGTGTTTGAAGAACTTTTGGGAGGGATGAGTGGATTGCCTGAGCCCACGAGTTCGAGACCCGCCTGGGCAGCGAGACCTCATCTCTACAATAAATCAAAAAATCAGCCGGGCGTGGTAGTGCGCGCCTGTAATTCTGGCTACTGGGAAGCCTAAGGTGGAAGGATCACTGGAGCCCAGCAGGTCAAGGCTGCGGTGGCCAGGAGCGGCCACTGCACTCCAGTCTGGGCGACAGAGTGAGACTCCAACTCAAAAGGAAAAAAAAAGGAAAACTTTTGTTTGGGGTGTGTGTGTGTTTTAAACCCTTACCTTATTATTTTAATTGCACCATTAAACCATTTCACTTAAACTGACCACTGCAGTTGGTGTACTGTTCTAATTTCTCATCCTGTCGCAGAATTGCCTGACAGAGTCTGCATGTCCTATTCACTGGTCTTTGTAATTTTGGGGGCAATAACTAAAGTCAAAAGACTAGATACACTACTGTGTAAAGAGATTACACATAACTGTATTCTACTGCATTTAATCAAACAGTATGTAGGGATTTACATTCACTTGCATTGCTTCCCAAAATAAATAGCTCATGTCAAATACCAGACAAACATCTAAGTTATTTCGCTCAAACAGGGGCAGAAGAAACAGTGAATACAGAGTACCATAACTCTCACCTGGTGATAGCAGCTTCCATCACTGTGGCACAACCCTCTGAGGATGCAAGATGGTCCCCACCACACCCAAGCGAACTAGGCACCACTAAGCTCAGAAAGGATGGGGAGGGAGGGCTTGGCATTGAGCTGAATTCACACTCCCAAATGTTTAGTAATCCTGTTAATTCGGGACCCTTGGTAACTGACAGCCCACCTTGTCCTCAAGGGGATGCTCGTTCCTCTGGAAGCCCACATGGAGGTCTCACCAACTGTCGAGTCTGGGCTGTTTAGGGTCTGTGTCGTGCCCGGCTGTACCCCAAACCTCACTGGTCCACAGCCACCCCGTCAAGGTGTTGAGTCTCATGTGTGTCACAGCACCCTGCAAGGTAGTTATTTGCCCACAGACCCTAACTCGCACAGCTCCTTACAGGACCAGCCTCCACATACTTCAAGGCCAAAGCCCCAGGCTTGGCTCCTACCTGAAGACACCGCCCCCATGGTGCGTGGAACCGAACCTGCCCATCTTGGAGACTAAGGACAAAGGGACAGGGCCCAGTCTGCAAGCGGCCCCATCAGCCCTCGCACAGCCCCTGGGAAACACAGAAAAAGGTGCCCCTTTATCGTGGGAGCGGGGGAAGGGACTGACACCAGTTCTGTGCAAGCGCGCATTGCATTAGTTGGCCTCTCGCCAGCACAGGTGCGAAAGCTTTGAATTCTGAAGTTCACCTCCAGGTAAGCTCCTTTTCTACGTCCTTAAAATTCACTAACTACAGTAGCCTACTATAAAAATTTAGAAGGCATGTTTTTTCTCCTCAAACATCTTGAGATGTTTTGATTTTTATTTAACTGTTTCAGAAAGTAGTCCCACCCCAAGTTTGTCAAATAAAAGAATATTACTTCTGAATATATGCCAACTGAAATAAAATGCATCTTTTGAGGCAGTCGCTATAGACTCTGATGAGTAACTACATGGGAATGAAGGACCCAACGAAGATAAAACCTTTAAATTGAAGCTTTGAAAAAGTGGAACCCCAGTCAAGCAGATTGTAGATAGCATTGTATTCCATGTAAAATACAAAATTTTAATGTATCACACTAGAATTTTACTAGAAAGGTAATTGGTGTGCAGAAACATTGTGCAAGTCGTCTAAACATTGTGCAAGTCGTCTGAGAAGAGTTGAGTAGAAAATACCTTTAAAATAGTCACAGGAAACAAAGTAATACGTGCACGCTGAATTTATTAACCTAGTAATGTTTTAAATTTCTTTCTAAAAATTTCTGTATGCTGTATTACCCTTAGAAAACATAGAAGTGAATTGAATAATGTTTTTACTTCATGTGCACTGGTACTATGCACTGAATGTTTGCATCAATATCCCCTTTTCCACAAATGTATATGTTGAAGCCTAATACCCAACATTTTTTTTAAAAAAGCTTTTTACATTGTATTTATAATATGCTGAATATATCATTTTCTAGGTAAACCAATCAATGTATATCTTTTCTTATTTTTATAGAATCTTTTTTTTTAAGTTGTGTGGTACAAGTGGGGATATACTACACAAGTAGATTGCGTGTAGGTGAAGTTTGGGTTTCTAGCTGACTCTCTCTCCAACTAAAAGGGGACCAGGTACCCAGTGCATTGCCATGTTCCTCCATTTCTCCTCCCTCTGTTTCTCCCCTAGCAGTGTCCAATGTCTGCCGATCCCAGCCTTGTGCTAGTAAGACCAGTGTTCCGGCCCATTTATGAGTAAGAGCATGCAATATTCAGTTCTTTATTTCTGTAGCAGTTAACTAGGTATAACGGTCTCCAGCTGCATCCAAGTTGCTGTGAAGGCCACAGTTTTGTTCTTTGTGGCTACATAATATTCTATTGTGTATATGTACTACATTTTCTTTATCCAGTACACTTTCAATAGGTATCTTGGCTGGTTCCATATTTTTGCTATTGTGAAAAGTGCTGCAGTAAACATACGTGTGCAGGTGTCTTTTTGGTAGAGTGACTTATATTCCTCTGGGTATATTCCCAGGAGAGGAATTGATGGATTGTATCAAAGCTCAATTTTTAGCTATTTGAGAAATTGCCACACTGCTTTCCACAGGGGTTGAACTGGCTTACATTCCCACCAATAGTATAGAAGTAGCTTCTTTTCTCCATAGCCATGATAGGACTTGTTCTTTTTGACTTATTAATGATAGCCATCCTTATCAGTGTTAGGTGGTATCTCATTACAGTTTTGATTTGCATTTCTCTGGATTAGTGATGCTGACCATTTTTTCATGTGTTTGTATGTCATCCTTTTAGAAGTGTCTGTTCAAGTCCTTTGTCCACTTTTTTAATAGCGTTTTTTGGGGTTCCCCCCTTCAATTTGTTTGAGTTCCTTATAAATCTTGGATGTTAGGCTATTGTCAGGTGCATAGCTTACAAATATATTTTTCCTATTCCATGGGTTGTCTCTTTACTCTTTCAATGGTTTCTTTTGCTGTGCAAAATCTTTTTAGTTTGATAAGACCCTACCTGTCAATATTAGCTTTTATTGCACTTGCTTTTGAGAACTTGTCCATGAATTCATTACCTACTCTGATGTCCAGGACGGTATTCCCTACATTTTCTTCTATGATTCTTATAATTGAAAGTTTCACATTTAAGTACTTGATCCATTTTGAGTTAATTGATGACTTTGTCAAAGATGAGTTAGTTGAGGGACCATGTTTTTATTTCTGGATTATCTGTTCTGTTCCATTGGTCTATCCCTATACCAATACCATACCATCCTGGTGACTGTAACCTTATAATAAAGTTGAAAGTCTGGAAATGTGATGCCTCAAGCTTTGTTCCTTTTGCTGAGAATTGTTTTGACTATTTGTGCTCTTTTTGGCATCCATATGAGTTTCTGTATTGTCTTTTCTCAGTTCGTGAAAAATGATGTTGGCAATTTGTTAGGGACTACATTGGATCTGTAGACTGCCTTGGGTAGGATGGATATCTTGACAGTACTGATTCTTCCAGTCCCTGAGCATGGGATGTTCATCCATTTCTTTTTAATTTGGTTCTCAGTCTGCTTGATGTTGGTGTATAGAAATGCAACTGTCTTTTGCACATTGGTTTTATATCCAAAGACTTTACTGAAGTCATTTATCAGTGTGAGATAAATTTCTAGAATTTTCTAGGTATAGGATTATATCATCTGCAAAGAGGGATAGCTTAACTTCCTCTTTTCTTATTTAGATACCCCTTATTTCCTTCTCGTACCTGATTGCTTTGGCTAGGGCTTCTAGTACTATGTTGAATAGAATGGGTGAGAGTGGGTATACTTGTCTTGTTCCAGTTCTTAGAGGAAATGCTTCCAGCTTCTGTCCATTAAGCATGATGTCGGGGATGAGGCAAGATAGCAGCAGAACTGGTCAGAGTGTGAGAGTCTCTGCAAAAGTGAATGTCCATAAAGACTGTCTGTGTGAGTGGGTGTGTGCTGGTGGGTGAGTGAAGGTCCAGCTGAGGGGATACTGGGGTTCAAGCACATGGGGCTCTCCTCCAGAAATGACCGCAACCCACCATTGCCCTGAGATCGGAGCCCCTGGTGCACAGAATTGTCTGCTGTCCTCATGGGTCTCAGAGATCAGCTGCTCCTCACCACTTGCCTGACCCACACCAC